AGATGATCAGGTGTGTGCCTATGGACTAAGTATTAATCCAGGCTAGACAAGGGCAGCAAGACATCCACGGATGCAGAAGATTTCTCTCAAAGCAGGGGGGGTGAGGTTCTGAGCCTCACCTCTGTTGATCCCCAAATTCTCACCTGATGGTCCCCCTGCGACTGTGCCTGTCTTAGGTTAGAACACTAACTTTTTAAGTAAGTGAGCTATTAATTACCATAGTACTCTTAAGTAGTTATTTCCTTATTATGTTTATCTTACCAGTCTTGTCTCTGGATCAGGAATGTGTTATTAGGACAACTTAGGGAGTTTATAAATGTAGAACTACTAACAGGTGCTTAGTAAATGGCAATTACTGATTATTACTAATATTACTAATATTTGTGTGGTATTAGACAGTTTTTAATGGCTGTCACATACTCATCTGCAGAGAGAGGGCTAAAGAGTAATGCTTGCTGATTTAGGGAAAATCTCTGTTGCTTAATCACCAATGTTGCAGACCAGTTACCTAGACACTCTAGTATACAAAGATTAATCACCATCAACCTCTTAATTTAAACTCAAAAGCTTCTCTGAAGTGATCTCAGCAAGAAATGGAATGATCTGGAAACTCTCACCATCAGATTCACAGGATGGCAGTCCTTGACCAGACTCAGGTGTGTGGTGAGTCCTTGATGCTTCCTTTCAAATTGTTTACTTCCTGTATTTCCTGCATATGTTGCAGATCCAGTGCTCAGGGGCTGAGAGATCATGCAGTGGGCCACATAAGAGGGATTGAAACAGGCAGTGTATGCTTAAGTCAGATATCTGGGATTTGGGTTGTAGGAAGGTGTGCATGTGTGCTTTTTTTAGGGGATAAAATGTTCAGGAATGTTATTGTGTCTGTCAAACAGCTCTGCCTCTCTGTACTTTCATTTGTATGACTCCAAGATAGAATTTTTAATTTTTCTTTTTGATTAGGAAGATCCAAAAAACCATTTTCTTGCTCTAGATAACTTAGGGCACTTTGTCATACTATGGAAATAGTGTTTGTGGTGTGTTCTGTGCATGGTGTGAAACAGCTTACAGGCGTGTTACTGTCAGAATTGGTTTGGCTTTGAAATTCATGCCATTCTTTCTGAGGTCATCTTTCTTGGGACCGGTTCTGTCTTTACAAAAATAGAGGAGGCAAGGATGGTGGCTGGGTTACTGATGGATTCTTCTCTGGCAAGTAGAAACTTGACTTGTCTTAGAAATGCCATGCTTGTTTCCATCAGATAACCATGTCTCCTTGTAACGTCACCAACCTTCTTAAAGCAATTAATAGCCTTGCTTAGGGAATAAATCCCAGGTGAATTTCCCAGGACCCATGCCATCTCATCATAGACGGTTTACCTTGGATATGATTCTTTTACCTCAGTATTTATTCTTTCAGACCATCAGTCATGTTTGTTGGCTTATTGTTTTGCTGAGCATTATGACAGAGCTTAGGGATATGAAGGTATTGAATATCATGGAATTTGCATGTTACTATGGCAGCAGTTCATTTGTAATTAGGTTTTGCCGAGTGCTGCATTGTGTTCAGTGCTAACTGCTGGCATTAAATAGAGGAGGAGTAAACTGAGAAGAGCCTACAGTAAAGCTGTGGTCAGATAGGTTGATTCACACATCAGTGATGCTGGTAAATCCCTGTGACTGGATGTGATCACCAAGCAGCATGTATAGCTAGACAGGAGGAGAGGCCTGGGTCCAGGAGTACTGTGGGCTTCTGGTTTATCCTTCTCAGTCCCTCATACATCTTTCTAAGAACACCAAAGAGGATGGTTTTTCCCGAAGCCAGCGTATGTCTGATGGTTTAGCACTCAGTGACCTTTGAGGATGTGGCGGTGGACTTTACCCAGGAGGAGTGGACTTTACTGGACCAAACACAGAGAGAGCTCTACAGAGATGTGATGTTGGAGAACTACCAGAATCTCATTACACTAGGTACGGTTGCCATCATTTCTTTACTGAGCCCTATTGAAATGAGTATTTCTTAAAACAATTTTGCTGTCAAATGGGAATAATACTGTGGTAAACAAGAAAGACATAGTGCCTGCCTAATGGGCCTTACTGTCCTAAAGGATTCCCGGTGAAATTGAAGATCTGTCTAAACAAATGACTTACTTTCTTTTCCAGAATAAAAACCTTGTGACTTTAAATATGTATGAGGTTGGACATGGTTTTCAGTTCTTAGAGATCTCCAGTCATTGAGGGCACAGAATGTGCTTGAAGTTTTGTTCTTCGTAAAATGGTTTAATTGCTTTTACTTGAGATTTTTGTGTGATTCTTTTGCTTTTTTTAAAGTGAGTCTTCACCATCTTCAGAAACCCTGAAGGCTAAAGTGTTGGTTCCCAATTCAAGGACATGTTTTTCCTATCTTGCAAGGTCCTCTTTATGCATTTTCCCCTTGAGCAGGGCATGAAGCATGCCAGCCCAGTGTCAAGTCTGGATTGCAAGGAGCAGAACTGAGGACAGGAGCGAGTATTCTGCAGGGTAAGTTCACAAGCAGATGTGGTTTTTGTTAGGCTGGGGAAAAGAAAAACAAGGACATGCAAACAGAACGGAGAGATGCCATAGGGGGAGGACAGACCAGACCCCAACGTCCATGCCTTATATGGAAAGGGGACAGCTCTCCCTGAATTGCATCCTGATGTGCCAACTAAGACCCGGATGTCAGCCTCCTCCCTCTTGGAAGGAAAAAAGTTTCTAGTTGACTATTATGTCACCTTTAGCCAATCATACCTCTCAATACCCCTTAAGATAGCTTGCCCACTCCAGCCCCCCCTCCTAATCCCTTATAAGCGCCCCACCTGCCTAACTGGGTGTGACTTCTCTGGCCTCCGGCAAGAAGGCCACAGAACCTCACCCGGGGGTATTTAAATAAATTACCTGGCCCTTTGTTGCCTCTCTGCCTGCTTATCCCAGCTAGAATTTATCTTACAATTTTATGAAGAGCAGTGCCAGCTGGGAAAGGGGCAGTTCATTTGCAAATGTCCATTGCAAACTTTCAAAGGTAAACTTTTTCTGAGAAGGCTGAAGCCATTTGGTTTCTGAGTTTCCTCAGGAAATTTTAATTCCCCTTTACCTTTAAATTTCCGTTGATCTTAACCTTTTTTTTTGTTCTCTCAGAAAGATTTTTCTGGCTTATTTGAAAATTTCATTTCTTGCAGGTAGCTCTTTTCACAGTATCTCCCTATCTTGTTCCCTGAATCTGTTATCTTCCTGGTTTCCTGTCAGCCTTAGTTTTCCAGGGTGTTAAGCTTTGTAAATTGCCTACAGTTCTGACACCTTACCTTCATCAATGCCAAACTCCTAAAACAGCCAAATTCTTTGTCTATGCCATATATACATTTTAGGTAAGATAAACTATTCTAGTGAGTACAATTCACCAGTATTGAGTATATTCACAGCGTTTGGCAACCATCAGGTCTTTATAGTTCCAGAATATTTTCCTAACCCCAAAAGGAAGTCCTGTACCCAGTAAGCAGCCAGTCCTCACTCATCCCTACCTCCAATCCCTGCAACCACTAATCTTTCTGTCTGTGTGGATTTACCTATTCTGTATTCTTTTTAGTGCAGCCCCTTAGAATCTATGTTCTTTTAACTTAGTGATTCTAGAATGACAGAAGTTGCTTAAAAGCCTGAAGCTAAGGAAAGAACTAAAACACTCTTTTAGTTTTTGTCAACTGGCTGTGTGTTGGGCCTCTCCTTTAATGCTTTTCCAGGCCATTTACAACTCTTCCTTAACCTTCCCTTCCTGCTGGAATTGATCCTGAGTGTCAGCCAGAAGTGAAAGTTTTGGACCTTTCCAGCCTTTTCAAGCATACATTCAGCCCTGGGTGTTCTTGTGGAATTCTTGGTTCCCTGGTGAACACTTGTGGTCACCTACCTATCAGCATTCCCAGTCTGTTTCTCCCAAGGCTTTTCAAGCTGTCTTTTGTTTGTCCCAACTGCTTTCCCCTGCCTTGGGCTACTTGGTTAATACTTTGCCTTTAGACACTTTCAGGAGAAGCTGCCTTGCTCCTGGGAACTCTCTGAGCTGCGTGACATAAAGGCAAGCCCTTGCAGCGATACTTGAGGCAGCTGCTAGACAGATTGAAACACACAATGGCAGTTCTTTGAGAACAGGGTCAGTATTGCCCCTTTGGGCACTAGCAGCTTGCTCAAGGATGTGTCCTGCTGTTTACCCACCTGCAGCTGATCCAGGGAGTAGAGAAGGTAGGTGGGCAATTAAAATGCAGTGTTCTCTTAGTGAACTACAATTGCTTCTTTCTTCCTTAAGCGTTCCCTTGGTGGTTGTATGCTATTCCAGAGTTTTGTAATACAGTTGACTCTTGAACAATACAGAGGTTAGGATGCCAATCTCCTGTGCAGTTGAAAAAATCAGTGTATGTTATATGCATTATATATTGTATACTTACAGTATTTCTTCAAATTGTTGCAAATCTCCAAATATATTTATTGAAAAAAATCCATGTAAAAGTGGACCTGTGCAGTTCAAATTTGTATAAGAGTCAGCTGTAGTTGATTCTGATAGTTTTTCTAAGTTTGTTGGTTTTCTAATAGCAAGGAGCCCTAGAGTCCCTACTCTGCCATATTTTGTGGTGTCATTCTCTGTGCCCACTAGTTTTAAACAACTTTATTCCTCAATTTTTCTCCAAATCTGAATTCTTCCACTTTATTTTAGAATCGAATTTCCAACTCAAAACCAAAGGTTCCACATCTCTTCTATGTCACCTTTAGCCAATCAAGTGGAATTGCATCAAGTGGAATAATCCAATTGGTAAGATCACTAAAAGTAATTCCTTTGCTCTACATCAGGATCAGAAGTAGAAAACCATGAGAATTCTATGACATAAATGTCATTTACCCAAAGAAAGCAGACTCACATGAAGAGATTCTCTGAATATCAAGAATTTGAGGAATACTCAAAACTTACTTCAAGCCTTTTTCTCCTCAGAGGTCTCACAGATAAACATGTAACTCAGATATCCAGTTTTCAGTGTGAAGTTTAGTCTAAAGTATCAAAAACTCTGTTCTATGAGATGCTCTGTGAAAGTAGACAATATAACACAGGGTCTTAACCTCACAGCCAGAGTATTCAACTTAAAGTAACTCACAAACAAGGCAGGAACTCTGTACATTTAATGGAAATGGAAAAAACTTCAATTGTGATGGTGTTTCCAATGCATATAAAGTTGTGATGGAGAAATTCTGTTACTATAAAAGTGTGAAAAAGTCTTTTGTTACCATTTATACCTTAATCAACAGGAGAGAAGCAATACTTGGATGAAACAATATAGCTCTGACCTGTGTGGAAAAGCACTCAGTGAGCACTCGTTTATTATGACTCACATTAGACCAAAAACTAAGGGTAGTTGGAATGCCTTTAAAAAGAACTTTATTTGTACTTTGCTCAAGAAAATCCCTGTTGGGGAAAAACCTTCTGAGTGTTTTCAACATGAAAAGGTCTTTGATTCGCTTTCAAATCTCACTGGGCACAAGAAACCTCAGACACAAAGGAAGTTGTGCAAATGCAAAGATTGTCAGAGAACTTTTGTTAATCACTCTGGAGAAAAACCTTATGAACGTAGAGAATGTGGGAAAGCCTTCACTCATTCCTCATACCTTACAGATCACTCAAGAATTCACAGTGGAAAAAAGCCCTGTGTATGTATGGAATGTGGGAAAGCCTTTACTCGATCCACAGGACTTATTTTACACATGCGAATTCACACTGGAGAAAAACCATATAAATGTAAGGAATGTGGAAAAGCTTTTATTCATTCCTCCTACCTTACAAAACATGTACGAATTCATAGTGGAGAAAAGCCATATATATGTAAGGAGTGTGGGAAAACTTTTACTCGTTCCTCTGGACTTGTCTTACATATGCGAACACACACTGGAGAAAAACCCTGCGTGTGTAAGGAATGTGGAAAAGCCTTTAATAATTCTTCAGTGCTTAATCAACATGTAAGGACACACACTGGAGAGAAGCCACATGAATGCAAGCAATGTGGGAAAGCATTCACTCAGTCATCGGGCCTTACCACACATTTAAGAACTCACACTGGTGAGAAGGCCTATGCATGTAAAGAATGTGGGAAAGCGTTTGCTCGTTCCACAAATCTTAATATGCACATGTGAACACACACAGGGGAAAAGCCGTACAAATGTAAAGAATGTGGGAAAGCCTTTAGATACTCCACATGCCTTAATATTCACATGCGAACTCACACTGGAGAGAAACCATATGAATGTAAGGAATGCAGGAAAACTTTCACTCAATCTTCAGCACTTGCAAAACATCTAAGAACAAAGGCATGTGAAAAAAACCTGTAAATGTTCCTCAGACCATAGTATTCACATCTAAAGTTATCTGGATGAAGACCTTATGAAAATAAAGAATGTGAGAAAGCTTTACTCCATTTTCCTTACATGGTATGTGGGAACTTAGCTGGGGCCAAATTCTTATTCATATAAGGTATATGGGAGAGCGTTACAGTTGGCCCTTGAAAAAAATCTGCATGTCATTTTGATTCCTCAGAAACTTTACTGATAGCCTACTGTTGACCAGAAGCCTTCCCAATAACAAAGTCAATTAACATACATTTTTCTGTTATATGTATTATATACTGTATTCTTACAATAAAGTATGCTTGAAGAAAGAAAATGTTAAAATCATAAGTAAAATACATTGAGAGTACTATACTGTATCAATACCATAAGTTTACTTTGTTTACAAGATGAATTGTCTGTCAGTACCTATATCAATATTTTCTTATAGCATACAAAGCATCATAGATGGTATATGTATTACTAACACTAGACATCAAATGTGCACAAATAATATGAAAAATAAATTCATATTTATTTACAGATATAATGATTCATGCATTGATAATAAAGCAGCTTTATGGTAACCTAGTGTAGTCTATACATTAGCTTATATGCCTAGCCTGTACTCTAATGAATGAATTTTTGTAAAATTTTTATGGCATACAATATTACAGTGATACAATTCAGTATTAGAAACATTGCTACACTTAAAAAAGCCCATTTACATGTGGTGATAGTCTGACATAGAATTTCTCCAATTATGAAACGCATCTGTAAGGTAATGTAACTTTTTGAAAGCAAAGTTAGAAAACAAACAATTTATATTCAATATTACTCACTTTATGTAGGGATAGGCTCTCCACTTCTATACAAGTCTTGCACACAGTGGTCTACATGAATACTTAGGTGATGATGACACAAAAATGTCTCATATAGTTCTTGCCATACAATTGTTTTCACATGAACACACACACTGTATATAAGTTTATTAAGCATAGAGCATGATTATTTACTATTCATTAAGTGGAAGTGGCTCGTTATAAAGCTCTCCTCTACTGTGTTTACATTGAATAGGCTGAGGAGGAAGCAGGCGGGTGGTCTTCCTATCTCTGGTGGCAGAGGTGTAGGAAGCCAAAGGGGAGGCAGGAGAGGCAGGCACACTTGGTGTAACTTTATGGAAATACATTGTAACTTGTGACTTTTGCTTTTTCATTTCTCTAAAATGTTTCTATCTGATACCAGTCCTTCTCCCATCATTTGCTTTAGTTTTGGTGCCCACATCTTAGAAGGGCCTATGTTGTACAAAGAAGTCAAAAGTAGTCTTGAATAATCAGAATGCTTCTGCCAGATTGCCTAATGCCAATTTATTTTCTAGCACTGCTTCTACATCTTCTTTCTCATCTGGCACTGGTTTGGAAGCCCTCATCTCCCGTCAAGTCATCTTAGGTTAATTCCTGTGGTGTGGTTTCTGTTAGCTCCTGTGTTTCTCCAAGAGCTGTATCTTGAAACTCTCAGATCCCCCGCCACTTTTTTTTTTTTTTTTTTTTTTTTTTNTTTCATGGCCTTTTTTTAAAAAAAATAATAAAGATGGCATCTTCAATAGTGTAATCCTTCCAGACTTTCACAGTGTTCTATTGGGGTTCTTTTCCATAGTGTTGATAATCCTTTCCATAGAGTACAGTGTGTAATAAGCCGTAATGGTTCTTGTGACCCATCTAGAGGCTGAATTAGAGATGTTGTGTTTAGGGGTAAGTGTAAGATAAATTCTAGCTGGAATAAGCAGGCAAAGAGAGGCAACAAAGGGCCAGGTAATTTATTTAAATACCCCCGGGTGAGGTTCTATGGCCTTCTTGCCGGAGGCCAGAGAAGTCACGCCCGGTTAGGGAGGTGGGGCGTTTATAAGGGATTAAGAGGGGGAGGAGTGGGCAAGCTATCCTAAGGGGTGTGGAGAGGTATGATTGGCTAAAGGTGACATAATAGACAACTAGAAACTTTTTCTTTCCAAGAGGGAGGAGGCTGACATCCGGGTCTTAGTTGGCACATCAAGATGGAATTCAGGGACAGCTGTCCCCTTTCCATTTACAGCACGGAGTTTGGGGTCTGGTCTGTTCTCCCCCCATGGCATCTCTCTGTTCTGTTTGCATGTCCTTGTTTTTCCTTTCTCCAGCCTGACAGTAAGTAGATCACTTCAGCACCTTCAGTGTTGAACTCGGGTTCTGGGTGGCCAGGGGGACTTGTCCAACATTGAAAAAACTAAAAGGCAGTCCATTACTGGCAAGACACATCAAATCTTTGATGGCTATTGAATTTTCATTTGCTCTATTCCAGAGAATAGTGTATTAAAATAATCCGATCTATTGATGGCTTTTGTAATTCTCCTTTCATTTGGCCCATTTTTTTAAACCACATTTTGAAGGCTATGTTTCAGGCGCATGCCATTTTAGAATTGCTGTAGTTTTTGGTCAGACCTTTCAAAAATTACCTGTAACCTTTATATGTGTAAGAATGTGCACTCCACTAAAACCTGTTTTGTCAGATTTTTATATGGCTATCATTTCTTAATCTTACTGTATCATTAGTTTTTAGATGTCTCTTTAAAAATATGGGAGTAAAACTTTTAAAATCTGGATTTTTAACAAACTTTGCATTTTGAAATTAGATTTCAGCATCCAGAGAGGTTGAAAATAGAACCATATGTTCCTGTATGTCCTTCACCAAGCTACCCCTAAGCTGACATCTTGGGTAACCATACGATAATTATTGAAGCTGAGAAATTAATATTGATAAAATACTATTAATTAACTTACAGATCTCTTTCGAATTTCATGTTTGCTCACTGCTGTCCTTTATGTGGGTTAGGATTCAATTCGGATTCTCACATTGCATTAATCTTGATATTTATAAAATCCACCTTAATAATCCTTACCATTGATGGAAGCATTTAGTCCATTTATGTGTAATATAACCGGTAATAAGTTTGGATTTCACTCAGTCATTTTATGCTTTCCATTTGTACCATTTTTTTCTTTGAATTGAACTTAGCTGATTTCAGAATTTACTACAATTTTATGGCAAACAAAGCAGTGTTACTAGCTTAAGGGTAGACCTATAGATCAATGAAATAGAATTAAGAATCTAGAAATAAGCCCTCACATACATATTCAATCGATTTTTTAGAAGAGTGACTGGAGAATTCAACTGAAAGAAAATAATCTTTTCATCAAATGGTACTGGGACAAGTGGATATCCACATGCAAAAGAATAAAGCTGGGCCCTTGCCTTAGACCATATTCAAAAATTAGTTTAAAATGAACAAAGACCTAAATGTAAGACCAAAAGCTAAAAAGTTGCTAAATGAAGAGTAAAAGCCTAATGACATTGCATTTGGCAATGGATTCTTAGATGTGATACCTAAAGCACCTTACAACCAAAGAAAAAAATAGGTGAATTGTCTTTGAATACTTATGTAATCCAAGGACACACTCAACAAAGTGGAAGACAACTTGTGGAATGGAAGAAAGTATTTGCAATTCATATATGTGATAAGGAACTTGTATTTAGAATACATAAAGATCCCTTACAACAATAAAAAAATCAAATTTTAAAATGAACAAGAATTTAGACAGACATTACAGAAAACAAATGAGCAACAAGCACATGAAATGAAACTGAAATCACTAGTCATTAGGGAAATGCAAATCACAATCACAATGAAGTATCAGTTCACTGGATGGTTAAAATGTCAAAGACAATAACAAGTGTTAACAAGGATGTGGAGAAATTGGAACCCTCACACGTTGATTGTGGGATTGTAAAATGATGCAGCCGCTTTGGAAAATGGTCTCGCGGTCATCTAAACGTTAAACACAGAGTTAATCTATATCCCAGCAATTCCACTCCTAGGCATATACCTGTGATAGTTTCATGTGTTAACTGCATCAACAAACGTCTAGATAACTGGTAATGCATTATTTCTGGGTGTGATTGTGAGGGTATTTTGGAAGATTAGCATTTAAATTAGTAGACTGAGTAAAGCAGATTGTCCTCCCCAATGTAGGTGGGTGTCATCCAATCCCATATAGGGCCTAAATAGAAGGGAATGATAGAGAAAAGTTGAATTATTGTTTTCTGCCTCACTGTCAAACTGGAATAATGTTCTGCTCTTAATGCTGTAGGTTTTCAGGCCTTGAGACTTGTGCTGGGATCTACGCAATTGGTTTTCTAGCTTTCAGGCCTCCAAACTATACCGCTATATACCACTAGCTTTCTTAGATCTCCAGCCTGGGGTTGGCAGACTGTGGGAGTTTTCAGACTCTAATTACATGAATCAGGTGTATGAATACCTTATAAGTTATTGTATATACATATATTTATATAAACCTCATATATATGTATATACACAAATACATACATATGTGTATATATATATGTGTACAGTCATCTTTCTGATCTTACAATATGGTCCAGGGCCTTATGTCTTCTTTCTGATTCCCTGGAGAACCTTGACTAATAAAATACCCAAGAGAAATGAAAATACATCTGCACAAAGAGATATACATGAATTTTCACAACAGCATTACTCTTAGTGTCCACAAAGTAAATCAATCCAAATGTCCATCAACTGATGAATAAATAAAATGCAGGATATCCATACAATAGAATCATTCAGCAATAAAAAGGAATGGTATATACTACAATACATAGGAGCCTTGAAAAACACTTAAGTGAAAAGAACTATTGACAAAAGATTTTATTGACATCAAATGTCTACAAAATGAAAATCTAGAGAGAGAAAGTAGATTACTTAGATGTTAAGAATATGGGAAAAATGGGAGTATGACAAGCAAAGGGCACTTTTTGAATGACGCAAAGTTCCTAAAATTGTGATGGTTGTACCACTTGTAAATATAATGAACATTGAATAGTTTTAAATGGGTAACTTGTATGCAGATTATATCTCGATATAGCAGTTGCAAAAAAAAACAGTAAATGACAGTAGCTACATTATGAGCATAAAAAATTTAATGTCTCTGAAGAACATAGATCAGTAAGATTAATGAACAGTAGCTACCATTATATTTTTACTGCTAAGTGCTAAAACTTAAAACTATTGTAATCAAAAGAATGTGATATGGGTATAAGTAAATATTACTGGCACAGAATAGTCTAGAAACTAATACAGGTATATATAGGAATTTCTTTAATAAAAGTGGGATTTCAAATCAGTATGTCAAGGATGGCTTATCAGTAAGTGACGCTATAAATAATGGGCCATCTAACTGAAGGAAAAAAATAAGTGGATCCACTACCCCACACCACATTATTCTTTGAGGATTAGAGATTACAATGTCATTAACACATTTTAGAAGAAAATTAGGAAATCTATGTAATCTAGAGTTTGAAGGGAATTTTTAAAGCAAGGCAGGAAACTCAAACTTCTTTGGCTACATATTTTGTACAGCAACATTAACGTAACAAAACATTAAAATATCAAATAGCTGCGTAAAACACATTTGATAATACGCAAGAACGATGCTTGGTAAAATGCGCCAGTAAATCAGGGTTTAAAAAGGCCTTTATTAATTTGGCAATGGCCACCCACTGAAACCCACAATAGGACCACAGAAGAAACTGTAGATCCATTCCTGAATAGGTGAAGATTGCTTGTTATCAGTGCTACTTCACAACTTAATATGGGAACCCTTGGACCCTATGGTATGATCGGAAAAATAGAAATACATTAGAGAAATATGAAAGTTACAGAAAAAGATTGGAAACGCAAAGGCATCTATGGGTACTGTTTAGCATGGCGTCCAATATAAAAAGAAAGAAAAAAAGGGGGCTACGGGATTCAGTGAATGCAGGAGAGGCCACAGACGGGATCGGTGGGTTTATCAAGACGAGAGAAGCCTGGTAGGGAACCTAGGAACCTGGAGAGGCAAGGGGGGCGTTACGAACTTCCTAAGCAGTTAGGCCCCGCACTCAGCGTCGCCCTTCTGACGTATAAACTCAGCGCCGGGCTCGTCCCACGCCCCGCCCCAGATTTAGACCCCGCCCCCGCCTGTAGCCCCGCCTCCAGGCCGTGTTCTACCCGCAGCCTAGTCTCCCGGCTTGTCCCGGTTCCCAGGACCCCGCGCGGTGCCTCCCCAGCGCCCCTGAGCACCCGCGGGAGAAACGACAGCTTCTCCCTGGCACGCTCGGACGTGGCTCCAGCCTGAGCCCCGGGCCCCGCCCCTCGCAGCCGTCGCGCAAAGCGGAGGTGGCGTCCCTGGTGCGCGGCGGTCTTTTCGTCCGGCGGTTCGGCGCTCTTGCGCGCGACTGGCTTTGGTGACGGGAGAGCCCAGGGCCACAGGGAGGTCGGCAGACGGCGGGTTAGGCCCGCGCCGCCGAGGGGCCTGCTCAGGAAGGCCCGGCGCTGCCGCGCGCGGCCCCGGCTGTTGGTCTCAACGTGGGGAGATGCAGCGGGGGCGCGTCTGCGGACGTTCTCATCCTCTGGGCTCCCAGGTTCGAAAGCCTGC